GTCACAGTATGGGGGGAGGAAGCTGGGGGGGTCACAGTATGGGAGGAGGAGTCACAAGACATGACGGGTCTCCTCATTTGTCTCTCTCCAGGACCTCTGCGGGCCGTACGTCTTCCTCCTCTTCGCCGCCATCTTGTTGACGTTCTTCATCTTCACGTATCTCCGCGTCCCGGAGACCCGCGGTCGGTCGTTCGATGAAATCGCTCACGCGTTTCGCAGGAGGAACCCCTCGCTGCTGGACAATGAGGTGAAGGCCAGCACGGAGCTGGAGAGTCTGGGGGGAGGGGACGACGCATGAAGGAACCCTCGTCGTCGTGGTGACGTCACCGGCCCGGAAGGACGACAACAACAACCAAACCCACCAACAAGTTCTGAAGGTCTGTGCCGTGGTCTGTGGACAGATACCTGGGAGACCACGGCAAGGCCACGCGGGAGAATCAGTGACCACATCTTCCATGTGATGAGAGGAGGGGGCCGCCCCCTACCCCTCCCCCCCCCTTACAAAGAGTGTTTGTGGACTCTTCCCAATTCCAGGAGGTGACAGGAGGCACGCGGTGCACACGTGAGGGACGTCATGTGATGAGTGACGGGGGATGAAGGGAAAGGATCACTGCACATGCCGTACAGCAACAAGAACCGCGTCCGCATACAGGAAGCACCGCACATACTAATGTCACCCAGCTATATATTGTGTCTGCTTTTCTTTGCCCCCAGACATGGCTGAATACCCCCCGGGGGGCCCGGCACAGGGGGCCACGGGGGAGCGGAAGCTGCTATGGGTGACACGTGTCATATAGAAGAATATATTCTGTATAAATCTGTATATATTTCTGCTGTGATAATAAATTATGAGGAACATACAACACGTGTCCCTGGTATGTACTCGAGGTGCTTTACTCTTCCCCCTCCACGTGACTGACCAATCGTGGCCATACAAGAGCAAAGGACCAATGAGGGGGGAGGACGGGCCTTGCATCACTGGAAACGGGCCCTAAGGAGACAAGCCTGACAGTCGCACCACATGGGGGAGGTCACGTGTCCCATCCGTGCAGTGATCACACTATGG